ACCATTGATGTAAACCATGATTGTCTTTTTTTGGATGGAATACTAGCATTCTGATTTCAATGATTATTTGATTTTGAAATACGTTTTGACTGTGAAGTAAAGGTTTACTTGAAATGAATCCAATGGTATTGTATAGGAATAACTTGAGGACCTGAATTAAATGCCTACAAGTTTTCTGGATCGCTGATTATGATAGACTTATAATGCTTTTGAATTTTTATTGTTTTTCCGATTCACTATGTTTTTCGAATACATCTCAATGTTATCCTTTTCATTGTGTTACTTCTTCAGTATAAGATAAATTAAGATGCCACCTGTCGATTTACTATTGAATATTCCATTTAGTGATTTGTAAATATTTATTTAACAGACGAACAAATTAGAACTGAGAAAGCGATTTTTTTAAGCTTCTGTATGTAGTTCAAGTATTACGTAAAACAAAAACTTTTAATTACCTTTATATGCTGTTTTGAACGTTTGAAGTGTGTTATATCTAATGGGTGCGTGCTCTGTTTGTTATATATGAACGTGCCGAAACCCGCCAGTCAGAGAGGAGTAAATGTATTGATCACCCAATGATACACAAAAATCGTATGAGCAGTCTTGAGTACTTATCAGTCATGCTTTTTGCCTAGCTCAGCCAGTTAAGTTCAGAACACCAATAACAGCCTCTTCAATATGAATAGTTAAGTTGCTCAACAATTATACAACAGGAAATATACACATAGTATTAGTCAATAAAAAGATCTCCAAAGTTATCATTCATTATTTCTATCGGGATATAACAAAATGCAAACGAAAATCTGCTCTTTGTTTTCCTAAAAGAAAATTGTAGTGTTAAGTTTATCTACTACTCGTTGTGTGTTTGTTGAATGTTGGTAACAAACGATTTTCTTAAATCCGACCTCAAAACTTGCAATGCTGTGACAAATATAACCCAGTGGTACTTCGAAATTAATCCATACGACCACTATGCCTTATCGAATTTTATATTATAACATTTTATGATGAAAACTCCTTAGCCTAAACCTTTAAATCTAACTTCGTGTATCTCAAAACAATCTGGGAACTTTTAAAAATCTTTTTAGTCCCTGTAACCATCATATTGAAAATAAGATGGTTAATTTACTTCTATGATAACGGATTTGTAGGCTGTTGTTTATTTAATTTTTAGATGACATAACCTGTCAAAGACTTTAATGAATTCGGTAAATATGGAACATCTGTTCACATTTTGTAATATAATTTATTTTGTTTCCATCAATAATCCCTTTGAAAAGAACTTTTTTTTATTCTATGGTAACTGACTGATAATCGGTTGCGGTTTTTTTTTTAAATTTCATCTTCGAACTATACTTTTCCCCCAGATTAAATTCAGTTTGAGCGTTTCCCGAATGAAAGCACATTTTACGGAGTATTGAAATATGATTCCTTTATTTGGATATCCTTTTTTGAATTCTGAGGCTATTTCATGAATCATCAAATTGTTATGGTTCATCATATTCCACTACTCTTTCCTTAAACTAATGTGATTGTGTAGTGAACAAGAACACGACTGGGGACAACCGAATGTATTTGAGCGCCAATTATAGACAATCTCACTAACCATACAGCAAACAGTCAATTAGCAAAATAACAATCAATTGTCTCAATCTTAACTGTTCCTTCTACAAATATAAGTCCATCTTCTCTGATATCACTGTTCATGCATTTTCGTGCCGATTGCGCTTCATTCCTATTCTTTCCTGATAGATCTTCCGCCAAAATACATTCCATGTCTGACCATCACCATGTGCTGCTTATGTGGATATAAGTAGACCAGATCACAGTCATATTTCCCTAAATTTTCAAAAGCAGATCAAATTTTACAACCATTATAATTTTCAAACTAAAAATAATGATGATGAAATAAGGAAAAAATAAAAGTTTATAAGGTGAAACAGTAGAAAACATCCAATGAAGAACATGGAATAAATGATATTGTGTTTAGGTCCTATCAATATTCATTTTCTGTAACGATATCTTCGTTTGTTATATACATTTATTCTTTATATAACTATCGAGAACCAATAAATTGCGGTAAATCTTGTAAATTTATCATAAATCTTCCCTCATTAGCATAATAAGTTTGAGGCGAAAGGTATTGGGTTCGAGTCCCAGTGATCTTGAGTGCTGTTAGAAGTATGAGGGTGGTTGTCACTTCCTGGTTGCCCACACCGTGGAAGGGTTCTTCTAGAGGTACCTGAAAAGGAAATAGGGTTGGAAGTGGTCTTATTGACCTGAGAGCGTGACCGCATTGCCCAAGGGACAACTGCTAGAGGTCGGTTGCACATCACCTTTTGTGGGAAGTTGTTGTGTTAGCTCCGTACTTCTTGTGACCTTAACGCCGGAGACGGATATCCATGGGATAAGGTAAGGTGTGCATTTTTATGGTTGATCTTTTCTAACCCCACCCCTCCTTGTGGGAAGGCAGCATCGCTGTCATGCTGGTTGTCTGAAGGAAACACCTTACTGCTGTCACACCTTTGTACAGTCAGCAGTACGACTTCGCCTTCAGACCTTGAGTTTGCTGCTTTTAGTCTTACCGCTCTTCAACCGACCTGCCTGACATGGTAGGACCTTGAGGATCGATTGTTCCAGCCAATACAGCTCGATTGATTCATCACGATAGGCAAGCCCGACCACCAGCAACGTTCGAGTTTCAAGTCCCAGAGTGAACATCAACTCTGAGATGCAGGTAAACCCAGCTGACGAGTCCCAAATAGGACGAAACGCGCGTCGTGGTTTCCACTGCTAGCCACTATCCTTCTTTGCTCATACATTAAATACTTTATTTGTCTATCTTTTATTAATTTTCTTTCACATTCTGTACGATTCTTCCATTTCCCGATTCCTATCTATTTCTTTTTAAAAATTTAACTCGCTTTTCTTAACCCTCTGCTGTTAAGTTTTACACTTTCGATCAGTGTTACATACTACTTATGTTTGTCTATTTGACGAGCACACATCTGCATATTCATATACAAATGAACAATATCTCTTGAGATTATAATTACTTATTTCTTGTTAGTAGTATATTTTAAGTTCTTGCATTTTTGTCATTTTCTCTCATTCCTTTTGCTAAATAACTCCATTCCTACGTTAAAACAAGAATTTGAATGAGTTTCGTTATTCATGCATTAGAAAAAATATATAATATTTTAATGACAATTTCGTGAAATTAGAAAATAATGGACCGGTGTAACATTCTAGTAAAGGATTCCTCAGAGGTGTTCATCCAAGATCACACCAGAAATCGACTTGATAGAAGTTGTTTGTAATGTCGGAGACCATCAACAATGTTAAAATAGTGAAGGTCCGGTTGTGAGACGCAAATATCTTGAATTCAATCCCTAGTGGGATAGTGTGTGTGTGTGCAATGTTGGACAGTTCAGTGTTAGTACGAAACATTTGTTGAATACTCTTTGTTTTTAGTAATATTTCAACCAAGATCGATTTGAGAAGGAAATATGTTAGATTCATTAAAAAATATCATCACTTTTCAGTAGGATTGACATGGGATTATGTTTAATTTGAGGTTTGGTTCTTTATTCTGTTTATGACGATTGACAATGTTTATCTGTAACTATGGTGAAAGTTATGGTGCTTCCCTGTTTTAGTGTCACCATGATTTAATGATTTCAAATAGCATGTTGTAGTTTTATTTACTGTTGATGCATATCCTAAATCAAAAGCCTATTTAATGTTTCCCAATCATTAAGCTATCCAATGGCTAATTAGTTTTTGTCTATTTATTTTCATAAGTTAGTGGAGAGATTTTGTGGCTAAGTTAATAGATTTTAGGGTGTTATTCAGTTTTATAAACATTTTGTACATTGTAAGCAAAGATGGATAGTGGCTAGCAGTGGAATCCAGGACGCAGGTACATCCAGCTGACAAGTCCCAAATAGGACGAAACAAGCGTCAAACTGAATCCCACTTCTAGTCACTATCCATCTTTGCTTAACATGATTGTGAATTAAAACTATATCGAGGCAATACTCACAGTATGCACATATGCCAATAAGAGACTGACCAGTTGTAGTCTTAAAAACATCAATGGGAAGATTCAAACAAACAATACTAAGTTGAATTTTGTACATTGGTAGAAAATTTTGTCAAGAAAGATAATCAGGGCATTAGGAATAAATCGTTTATCTTAGAGTATTCGATAACACTGGGATCTTAACGGAGGATTGACATAAGACATATACGTTGATATCATTCTTGTTTTCATCATATTTCTCCAAAGATTGTTTATATTAAACTTTTTTACAAAGAAGAATGTACATGATAATAGATCTAAATTATTCAACTACTCGTTTACTGAGTTCACACTTCTCATTGCTTATCCATATATCATTTAATTAGCTTTGATCAGCTATCTGGTTAGTGATCTTGAATTATCTTTGATCATCCTCTGAAACTACTCAAATCCAAAGAACATTCATCTCGTATAACAACTGTATATCTTATTAATTAATGCAATAAATATGTTGATTATTCATGATAACCGTATAATATTGTATTATAATCATGTTTAACATTATAAATCCAATTACGTATGGACTATTTCGGTTTCAAACAAAGGGGATAGATTTCGATAGTGTAGTAAGAAGACGAAGATTATCAGAACAGTGATATATTAACGCAACACATTTCGAACAGAAGGGGGTTTTGTGGAGATTTTAGTAATTCCTTATAATTGAAATCATGAGTCAATTGAAGCTAGACCACCATGAAAATCCTGGAAGCCCTGGACTATCGGTTAAGTGCTCGCGCGCGAGCCTGGTTGGTCCTGGGTTCAAATTTCGTGAGGTGGTATCGTAGATGCGCACTTCTGAGGAGTCCCATAATAGGACGAAACGGCCTTCCAGTGCTTCCATGCTTTCCATGGTGGTCTAGCTTCAATTGACTCATGCTTTCAACATTAAATTTCTTCATTATTGATTTTTTTTTAGCTACCTCAATGGTAACACAATTCACAAACTACTCAAATTACTTTATCAATCAAACATCCATGGAAAATATAACAAATTTAAAAACTATTCAATATATCAATCATAATGATACATTAAATGGAACATTTATTGATCCATTCCATATACACAAATCAATAAAATCGAATAACATTGAAGGATCAGCGACATTCCAAAATCATTCAATTACCGTCATCTATTTATTCTTTAACAAATTAATCATTCCATTTATTCTATTTGGATTATTTTTAAATTTTATATTAGTTAATACAATATTAAAACTATCTTATAAACAATTACCATGGTTACTATATTTATTTTATATTATTATATTAGATCAATTTGATCTAATCATTACTATAATTAATTTTTCAATCCAATCATATTATCATATACATTTATTAATTATATTACAATTTCTTGGACGTTTTTATTGTCAAATTATACCAATGTTATATAATTTATTAAAACATTTACATTCATTATTATTTATAATTTGCGCCATTGAAACATTGAAATTGAATTTAAATCCAGTTAAACTATTGAATGTATCATTAAAACAAACAAAACAATCAATACAAAATATTTTAATATTAATTTTTGTTATTATTATTATATTTAATTGTCAATTTATATGGACATTTGATTTATCTAAATTAGATAGATTAATATTACATAAACATTTATTACATAATATATATAAATGTGATTTTGCATTAACATGGTTATTAAGTCCAATATATTTAAATTATATATGGCCTATAATAGATCATATAATTGGTGATTTATTACCATGTTTTATATGTTTATTAAATGGAATTATAAGTTACGCATTATATCGATTAAGATTTATGAAATATAAGAAAGAAATCAATAATTGGTTAGATACTAATAATAGTCAAGATGAGAAATTTGTAACCATCTTCATTGGTGATAATAATAATCAACAAAAATGTAATCAAAACAATTATTTATTATATATTAAATGGATTATGAAAATTAGTAAAGTATTTAATTCACTTTGTTTTATTCATGGAATATTTTTGATACCACGATGTTTATATTATTTAATGAAATATTTCTTTTTTATAAGTAAGTTTAAAGAAAAATTGTGTATAATTTATTGTGTTACTGAAATTCATTTTAAGTAGTATAATATTTTAGTGAAAATGTTTGATGCTATAGTGTTGATATCTGATACTTATAATGGGATTCTAATATTTCGAACGCATTCCACAGTAAAAATGGACCTAATTAGCAGTTTGTTATCGAAATAGTAACAATACAAGAACTGGATGGCTTGTAGCAGCAGGGATATGTGGAAACATCTTGTCTAATAAACCTTAAATATTTACAAGAAATAACTAGAAAAATTGATTCATAGCAGAGATGTGGGAAACGAAACGGACAGTATTTATAAAGGACTGGAAATTGAATTACTTACCAAGGAAGTCGATTTACAAGTGATAAACAATAAAAATGAAAATATCATTCATGAATTCAGGCGTAAATGAAGTTGGATATTAGGACTGACATCTTATGGTTTACAAGTCTTTAATAAACCTAGGTAGGTAAGGAATGCCAATCAATAGAGATTACATTTTCAGTGTTGTGGAATTCAGTAATTATCTAATAGTTTTGTATCTAACTGAAGTTCTAATTAAGACACATGTTCGTGATGGGTGAAATATTTGGTAGTTGTTGTTATTAAGAGATATTTCCAGTGAAGATATATTACTAACATCAGAAGAATATATGAAAAGAAATTGGAAGATTATTGTGTAACCTCGACAACACATTGAAATTATAAGTAAAACTCGTTGGGTGCTGCATCTAGGGACTGAAGGTTAAGCTCTCGATGAAAGACTTGAATGTGTTGGATTTAGTTTTCGGTAGGATCTTGAATGTGCACTATTAAAATGCAGCATACTAAAGTGAAACAGCTTTTTACTGTTCCCTGATTCTCAATATTTGCATAAGTTCATTTCTTGATGTAAACCATAACAAATATGAGACTAAATCAACAAGATTTTCGAGATATCCACAAACATTTTGGAAAATTGAAAAAGTGTGAATTTCAAGAACACATCAGATTACCAAAACTATTACACTATTGTACTACTAAAACGAATATTCAACAGTTTCTTATAACCAATAAGCAATGAAGTTTAAAGATTTCAATAATTTGTCTAGATCTACCAGGTATATTATATATGCTTCTTCATTCCTACTTTACACATGAAACACTTCTACGAATCTTTTAGTTATCTTATACATTTGAGATTATCTGCTAAATTTCGTGAGAAGATTCACTTTTTATCGACCAATGTACATTTTTTTATCAACATAACTCTATGTCACTTCGATATCGTCGATTGAATAATCGCACTACACTCAAACTTTGATGTCAAGCCAGCTTTAATTAATTACCGTTTTCTTTACTATTCAAAGAACAAGACTTACTTACTTACGCCTGTTATCCCTTGTCGAGGAGCATAGGCTGCACACCAGCATTCTCCTTCCAACTCTGTCATGAGCCTTCCTTTCCAATTCTTTCCAGTTGTTATTCATCTTTTTCATATCTGCTTCTATTTCCCGGCGTAATGTGTTCTTTGGCCTCCTTCTTTTCCGCTTCCCTTCCGGATTCCAAGTTAGCGATTGCCTTGTAATGCACATTAGTGATTTCCTTAATGTATGTCCTATCCACTTCCAATGTCTTTTCCTAATTTCCTCTTTAGCTGGAAGCTGGTTTGTCCTCTCCCGTAGTAGGCTGTTGCTGATAATATCCGGCCAAACGAACAAAGCTATCTTCTTCATTTATAATAGAGCATTACTCAATACTGCAATATGCATTGTATTCATTGGTTTGTAAACAAATTTTCCTTTAGACTTCCAACATACCCATTTTGATTACGAATTAATGTAAATATATAAATACATATATCTATTTTCACTTTAAATTTTAGGTAGAATAACAACTCGTAACAATGTACATAGTCATGAACTAAACGACTTTCAAAGTCAAACAGATCAAGGTCTATTGAACACCATCAATCATATTATAGAATTATTAAGACCTTATGAAATGTATTTAGGTCATTATGAATCTGCATTATGTTATATAAATGTTATTGAAATACATCTAAGAATTATTATTCTATTGCTTGGTCTAGATGAATTCAAATCAGATCTTTATACATATCTATCTATAGTCTTTAATTATTTCAAACGATTATCATTATGTAATCTATATGGAAGAAAGTTAATTCTCCAAAATTCTAGTCGACGGATTCAATCTATGCGTAGAACTATGATTGATTTACCTTTGGATCATAAAACCGCCAATGATGATCCTATTGAAATGTCAAAATATTTACCCAAGATCAAATGTAATTCTGATAATCTTAACAGTGATGATCATTATAAACAGAAGAAAACATCTTCATTTATAGAATGTAACACTACAGTGAATTCACAAACTTCTTTAATTGCTGATACTCAATTGAATTATACTACTTATAATGATAAATGTATTGAACCTGATATCACAAAAATTGACAAATTCAAATCCAATATGAATATTCATTCAAAATATGATTGGTATGATTTTAAAAGGTATAAATCCAATGATGTTTCTAGTTCGGAATCATTTACAAGAAAATATCACATATTTTATTTATGAAATATTCTATAGAAGGATAAAAATAAACAATCATATCTAATCAGAAGGAGGTTTGCGTGGAGATCTCAGTATTTGCATAGTTGAAAGCGTGAGTCAATTGAAGCTAGACCACCATGGAAAACCTGAAAGCATTGGACGGCCGTTTCGTCCTATTGTGGGAATCGTCAGTGGCAGTGGGCATCCACGATCTCGCCTCACGAGATTCCCACAGTAGGACGAAAAAAGGCCATCTAGTGATTCCAGGATTTCCTTGGTGGTTTTGCTTCAATTGATTCATGATTTCAACTATGCAAATACTGAAATCTTCACAAAACCCCTTCTGATAATAATATTTAAATTTATGAAAAATAAACAAAGTTTGCATTTTTTTTTAAACAAAAAACATTTCTGTTGTCCTCAAAAACATTTACTCTTACCTTCTTAGTGGTTTTAATAAATTCTATTAAATTAATTTTTCAAGTTACTTCTCAAACGGGTATTTGTGACTAGTGTGAGAATGCAACACAAAGAAAATCGTGACAGATATAGAAGATGTTCAGTATGGGATCTGATGTGTGGGCGAGAATGATAATAATTGATTGTTTTGCTGAGTCTGACATTAGATAGAATGACAAGTGTTATATGTATATTCCCCTATCCTTATTATGTATTGACGGTTATTGATGAACTGTTCCTTGTTGTTGGATTGTGTCGGATTTTGGTGTGGAAATATATTGACGTTATAGTCAGGCTAATCTCGTATTCTTGATCTGAGTTGTGTTGAAGTCCTGTAGAATAGACACTGGGTAGGAAATCTAGTGATATTCGTCTAAGGTAAATTAACGTCCCACATACGTGTAAAAAGTGAAAGGACTGTTATAACATTAAACCCTAGTGTTATAACAAGTATCCTACCTTAATAACAGAATCTTATAAAAGTACTCGAAGATTAATAAATTATTGAAAAGCAAATGTTTGAACGTTATCAGTGTAGATAAAAAGATATAGATAAATAACTGAGAATGATACCATTTTAAAGGATGGATGTGTATTGATGGAACTTTAACTAGTCCTTTGCTTCATTATGAAGAATGATGTTTAGAAATGTAAAAACTGAACTTTAATGGTGATCAGTCACGTATGACTAGCTCCCCATGAGAAGTAAAACTGAGAAATGTATACAGAGCCATAGAAAACAGAGAGCTTGTTGAATTTTCTAATTAATTGTATGTTAAGATGGGACAAAAACATTTAGTAGGAAGGAATGTAACCGTCCATCCACAAGATATTAAGATAGAAAGGTCATTCGCATTTGTAAGAATTGCTTTTTGTATTTGTTAGATAGAAATCTGCAGTTGCTGAGGCTAACTGGAGGAATGAAGGGATTTTTAGACGAACTATAGTTTGCACGTATCCTTATGATATCTTTTACGAAAGTATATGTTTTGTATTGTGCTGAAAAAGTGGTAGGTCATTCGACAATCGGTTGAGTTATTATTTATTTATTTAATCACATATATATTGGTACAAAGGGCACCGGATACATATGCGCCACACAAAATAATGAGAATGGGAGGAGGAAGAAGATGCGTATATATAAAAGAAGGCAAAAAAAGAAAACGAGAAGAGTAATGATGGGGGGAACTGAATGTACAACCAGAAGAGCTCTCTCAGTTAGGATAGTTATAGCCACTCTTTATGAAGAAAGTAAAAGAAGGTTACAGCAGGATCGCCACTGGCTTCTATTCTGAGCCATATCTGATAACGTCCCTAGACACTGTGTTGCACCATCTCTCGGACCCCAGCCAGGGAGTCATGAAGGACCAACAGAAGCTAGCCCTTTGCAACTTTCTTTCATACCATGACACCATGTCATACACTGACCACCTCTCCGCTTTTTCTAACCAGTCCCACAGTCGACAAATAATGCACGACGAGAAATTCTCTGGGACGACATTCGTAGGGCATGTCTAAGCCACCGAAGTCGGTGTTTCAAGATGGTGACACCAATTGAATTATCGTCTCTGCGCCCAGACATACGATACCGAACCTTTGCATTACTAACATGGTGTTGCCACTGTATGTCAGCAATCCTTCGGAGACAACGATGATCGAACACAGAGAGACGACTAACATCCTCAACTCGGAGAGGCCAGGTTTCACAAGCATAGAGCAAAACTGCTCTCACCGACGCGCTGTAAATCCGACCTTTTACAGCCAGACTAACATCACGAAGGCGCCAAAGATGGCCCAGATTGGCATAAGCCGCTCTGGCTTTCCTTATACGTGCATCGATCTCATCACTCACGCAACCACCAGCACTTATATATCTACCTAGATACGCGAACTTCTTAACTACTTCGATCTCCTCACCATCCAGGGTGAGTACAGGATGAGAATCCTGCCAGTCTTGTAGGAGTACTTTGCACTTGGAGGGTGCAAAGCACATGCCGTACCTGCGGACACTGATTGCCAACTGACTAAGTGCGGATTGCATGCCTTGGGCATTATCGCACAGTAAGACAATATCATCCGCATACTCAAGGTCGAGAAGTCGTTCTCCAGGCAACATATCCACACCGCCATTACTTACATCCATCAGAGCTGTTTCCAGGATGTCATCGATGGCAAAGTTGAAGAGGAATAGTGAGATCGGGCAACCCTGCCTAACCCCACTGCTCGAATGAAACAAGGGAGAAAGGTGGTTGTATGCCCTCACTCTGCCTGAGGTGTTCGTATACAGGGCCTTTAAGATGTTAATGAACTTCTCAGGCACACCCTTCTTCAATAGACAATCCCAGAGAACAGTCCTGTCCAACGAATCGAAGGCAGCCCTGATATCAAGAAACACTACGATTATTGGCCTGCGATAAGTATGACGGTGTTCTAACATTTGGCGGAGGGTGAAGATGTGATCAATGCATCCTCGACCAGAACGAAAACCAGCCTGCTCCTCGCGAGTCAATCGTTCTCGGGTTTTAAACAACCTACGAAGAATGACAGAAGCCAATAGTTTGGACGCAATCGGAAGAAGACTTATCCCCCGATAGTTATCACAGGAATAACGTGAACCCTTTTTAAAGATAGGGACGACTATCGACTCATTCCATGATGTTAGAACACTTTCTTGCTCCCAAACCTTTGTAAACAACACCGTCAGTTCCTTAGCCAGAAAGTCACCACCATCTTTAAAAAGAGCCGGAGGCAAGTCATCTGGGCCCGGTGATTTGTAGCGCTTCAAGAGTTGGAGTTCCTTGCGGACTTCCGCCTCGTTTGGTGGATCAGTCCTTACCGGCCATGGGGGGGCAGGACAAACTGGTTGATGCTGCCGGAGCAGCAGACCAGTTGAACTGCCCTTCGAAAAATTCCGCCCATCGTCCAAGACGTCGAGAGATGTTAGTGATTGGCATCCCATCATCCTCGTAGATTGTTTCACTCACACCAGACTTCTTGCTGCCAGTGGCTCGGATGAGTTGGAAGAGCTTCCGGCAGTTACCAGGTGCAGCTGCTGCTTCCATCTCATTAGCACGCTCCGACCACCAGGCTTCTCGGTCCTTACGCAATCTTTGCCCGATTTCACTACGTAACAGCCTTCGTTTGTGGTTAAACTCACGGTCACCCGGAGTAGACCGACGGGCTTCCATCAGTTGTAAGGAGCCAGAAGAAACCCAGTGCTTGTAAGCGGGACGTTTCGCGAAGCCGCAAGCGACTTTACTCGCCATTTTCATGGCGTCGTGAAGATGCAACCAATGCTCATCTATACTTTTCGGTGGGATGGTAGCTAGCCTAGAAGCTAGCTCCGCTCGATACTTACTTGCAACAGAAGTTGCAGCCAGTTTACTAACACCGATCCGTTGGTGGTGGTCAATCCTTCGGCCACTGAAAAGTAAGGTGAGATTGGCGCAGACCAGGGCATGATCAGACTCCAGATAGGTACTCCAAAAGGAGCGGCAGTCTTGTACACAACCACGCCAGCGGTAGCTGATCGCGATGTGATCAATCTGAGTCCAGGCTTGGGATGCAGAAGGAGGACACCAGGTGGCACATCGGCGATGACTGTGCCGGAAGTTAGTGCTGGCCAGAAACAGGTTGTGGTCTGTGCACAGTTGCAGCAAACGGTCCCCGTTATCTGTTCTGCGACCAACAAGTCCCCATCGGCCACCTAGACGACTCTCTTCTGTGCCTAGACGTCCGACCTGTGCATTCAAGTCTCCGGCTAGTACTACAATACCCGTCGAACGCGCTTTCTGGAGAAGAACTGTTAACTGATGGTAAAACTCATCCTTGATTGCGTCCGGGCTGCAATCTGTCGGAGCATAGGCGGGGATGACGAAAAGACACCGTTTCTCACGCCGGTTTCTTCTCACTTTGATGGAACTTTCTAATCTAACAGCACATAACCGACTGTTAATGGGGATCCAATCGATTAATGCTGCCTCAGCCCTAGCGCTTAGTGCGACACCAACGACAGCAAGACCAGACGAAGATGCCACAGAGTCCCCGGATAAGCGCACGTGAAACAAGCTTATCGAAGCGACAGATCGAGAGCGGATTTGTAGTACTTCACTAGAGTCTTGAATACGGGTCTCGGATAGACAACAAACGTCAACATTAAGACCTTCCAAAGACATAGCCAGCCCCATCTGTTGTCCGATCTGCATTAGTGTGCGAACGTTGAAGGAAGCCAGCTTGAACGGCGTACGTGGTTTCAGAAAGACTGTTTCAGTATTCATAATCGGTGGAAGCATTCACTTTCAACCAGACAGTGACTGGAGATCGTTTAGATAGGACAGATTTTCCACCAAGAGCGAGCTGCTGCATAAGATGAAAAGTAAGGTTACACAAATTGGGGATAAAAGGGGGTGAATTAGAGATATGGTAAATCATAATAATAATAATAATAATAATAATAATAATAATAATAATAATAATAATAATAATAATAATAATAATAATGCAAATTGAATTGTTTCTTGTATGAACGAGAATATAATTGTCAGTTGAATGTTCCATTTCATTTATTTGTGTGTGGGCTGTGATACTGCCCGGGTGCCCAAACCGAAGCAGGAATCGGTTGAGTAGTAGCCAATATTAGCCTTTCTCAGCCATCAATGATGATTGAATTCCATCGATCGGATTGTGATGAGACCACTATTCCAAGTGATTCGCCATTGAGTGAGCTATGTTGAAATGTTAATCAATTGAGGGTTTTTGACAGGAAACTGTGAACCTAGGTTTCGTGCTGGGTGGTATCCATCAGCAAGGTGTACCAGTAGTCTTGGGGAAACTGATGCTCCTTGAGGGAACTCGAACCCGTTTGAGGAAACTAAACTAGTACATATGTGCTAGGTAAACGCGACATCAGTCATGACTCAGACATCGATCAGTTGTATGAAACCTATTCTTACGTGTCGGTCACAGACCGAGTAGCTCAGCGGTCACCATCTTACTGTGATACAGGTTAACATGTTTCGACTATGTCGAACCATCTAACAAAGAGATTGATGAACAAACGTCAGGAATTATGACGTGAATACAATTATAAATGATTGTGACCTTATGATATATCTGAAGCGCTACGAATTCACTAGTAACGAACGGAACAAAGACACGTGACCAGAGACCGATAACTAGCTATACTGACGCGACCCAGACCCAGCTAACTAGAGTAAGAAGTCCAAGTTGGAGCGGGGAAGTTATATTCCGTAGCAGCCAGAAGCACAGTAATCAAATAAGGAAAAAGTCAAGCGTATTTATACAGTAACGAAATGTCCTTGGGCATCGTTAATAATTAGCACACACAAAGAAACAATGGACCAATAGCGTTTAAGATAGTTACAAGTGGGAAATACGATGTGAAGGTAATAAGAGCACGTTTTGGCGCGAAAACAGTTAAATTCAAATTTACAAAATAAAATTACAAAATTGAGTAAGTTCTGGGGATTTGACATCCCCAACAACTTAGACTATCCCACTATTTGAACTCGAGCATTCTTTCAAACTATTCATCGATAGCCTACTAGCGGAACTTAATTGATGTTATTAGAAGATTGACTCTTCCATCTAGATTTAGTTGATTACCACATGAAAAACATAATCCAACCACCCTAAAGAAATTTAGTTCAATTTTAAACCTACTTTGACTGAATACTGAGTAGTAGCGAATATTATGTTTGTCTAGTATTGTATACTAATAGAATTCTGTTGACTAAGTATTAACTTAGATATTTGTAAAAGTAGCTCGATAGTGGTAGCACCTCTGATTGCGCGACTTGACAGCTTTAGTCTCAGTCATACAGAGATAACTAGTTCTTTTAAGATTGTATGCACGCTTTGTTGAGAATTGTCAACTAGGAAGAAGCTTAAGTTCAGGTTTTCCTCCCGACTGCCCATTAAATCTAAAGTATAAATCCTGTAGACACCTGTTAAGTTCGAGTACATTAAAGAAACGATCAAAAGAAAGTGATAAACAAATCACAAAATAGCTTCAGTACTTCTTTGTCATACTTTTGAGGACTTTTCATTGAATGAATCGAATTATCCTCGTTTTAAAACCTGTGGAACTTGTGTTGCACAACTACATTACCTATGAGTAACTGGGATGAATTCTTTTTTCGTACTTTTTTGATTAAATTGTTTTCTTATGGGGTTGATACTCATTTGTTCTTTCACACATAGTGAATCAATCACTTTTATGACTATATGCGCTGAGATTTTGCTATTATTACTGTCGAGTTCATTATCTTCAGTGTACTTTAAACATAAACTAATTACTGCTCTCTGTAAAACCGCTTATTTAATATTCTTTTCATACATATACAATCCGAGAACCTAAGACAACCTTCAGATTATATTAGATCCCGGGCGTATTGTCCAGACAAACCTTACAATATTCCCATTTTCATTTATTGAAAGACAATATGTATTTTATTGAACATCTTCCTCAGTACAAAAAAAAATACTTAATGAAATACATTATAAATAGGACTGTTTATAAATACACTCAAGTCGTTATGCAAGAAATGCATGAAGAGAGATGAGCAAATTAATGGACATAATGAAGATAATTCAAAAAGAATACCTAAGATACTTTTGAATTTAATGTAAATATACAGTTTATTAAAGATTTCATAGGATCTGATTGATGTGTTATTAAAAGTCGATCATTCAACTGATCTATTTGTTCAGATGAGAAAGAATGTTTCCAATTCAATAGAAAACCAAGTGAATCAGATGATGGCAACTTGGAAGTTGTTGTTGATATTGAAGATGACTGTTGTTTCAAATAGGTGAATTGGGATTTGGGTGATTTCAAACTGTCAGTAATACATGAATTTGTAGGTCCTAATTGAAATATTCTAACATTGAAATATTCATCATTTTCATCCTCATCATTGGTAATACCAGTATTGTGTTCTGATGATTCCATATCTTTCCTGTCCTCTTTATCATCAAGTTCATGAGAATAATCCATAAAGGTCTTCGCTACATTTTGATCGGCAGAATCATATGTTTCAATGTCTGATGATGATGAAATAGAAGGACTTGGGGTTAAAGATTTATCATCCAAAGATTGATGACAATTACACTGAATAAGTTCATGAGTCCATGATCCTGTCGATGTATTGGGCAGAAGAAATAATTCCTAAACAGTAAAAGAAAAAAGAAATAATGAACAAGTTACAAGACAACAGAAAACATGTTGCTTCATATTTTGTAATACAATTTGTACTACTTACAAATAACTAGTAGTTAAATGTAGTCACAGTAAATGATCCCAGATCAAATGTATCGTAGAAAGCAAACCGATGCTTTGAATAACACATGTCATTCTGTTCTCAAAGTGGCTTTATTTTAATAAGAAAATGGCGTTAACCAGTTTTGGGATCATGATAAAAATAACAATAAACAGATAGTAAATAAGGATGGAGCTTCAAGTATAATTTTATTTAAGATGATAATTTCAAATGGTTGATTTACGGAGGGAGCCCTGACGACAGGGGTTAGGTATTTCATTTTTAATTACAATGATTTTTAGTGAAACAAATCAATTATTTCCTAAATTCATCACAGCAACAAATTTATTAACAATTTATTTCCTTACCTTAACCTGTCTAGTTGACATTTTAATTTTCATATAGAAATGTCTTAACAATTAAACATATGATAGTGGCTTACAACTGACTGACCATCAGGTTTACAGTTTAATGAGGTTCAATTATGAAAAATACTGAAGCATACTGTTATATCTTGTGGCCGAGTGGATGCCTAGTTAATGTGTGACTTGATGAGACCGCCAATTAGGGAGCAGCGAATTATCGATTGGAACAGTGACACACGAAACCGTACGAGCAGACTAGAGTGCTAACCGGTCCTGCGATCTGCTTAGCCTAGCCAATTAAGTCCAGAACACCAGTAACAGCCTCTGAAATATGAATCATTATTCTCAAACATACTGGGTTTATATACCAACTAAACAGACCACATCGTACAATAAAATAGATAATAACATTTGTACAATATTTAGCCAAATGTGGCTGTGAATAGGGGGAAAGTAATTAATAAACTGATGATAACTCAAGAATCGTATAATAATAGTTCAAATGTCAAAGTAAAGCTAATGATAAGAGGAACACAAATATGATTAGATTATTTACAATAGGAAATATACATATTACATTACTTCACAAATAGTCCTCAAAAGTTACCACTCACAACACATACATCTAATCAAATTAATCGACATGACTGATTGTGCTGATAGCATGATAAGAACAGATTGCATAGAAGGACATGAATCAACAGACAATATGAATGCTTCCCCCTACCACACCATAGTACGGATAAAACCCAATGAGCATGGGCAATAACTAAATATTGAAAAAAATTGTTACCTAGAAAAGAAATGACTCTTTATTTCCATTTTAAGGCATCCTGAAACTACAGTGAAAATAGTTGAATGATTTATATTGGTAAATCCAACGACAGGAGAAGTTATCTAGTGAGATTTATTCAAACTAAGCAGCATCATGAACTGAAATCTGAAACAGGAAATTCTAACTCGTTGGTGGAAAAATTTTAAAAATTTGAAATCCTCCACAGGATCTTTTGACTCAAGCCTTCAGAGACCAGTTATGTAACAATACTGAAAGAAGTTTAACTTCAAAAACTAATAACTAACTTAAGTGATAAAAAATGTGATAATAACATCAATAAGTAACACTAAATTTATGTAGTATTGTTTGTTTGAATCTTCTCATCGATGTGTTAGGACTGTAACTGGTAAGTCTCTAATTGGCCATATGTGCATACTATGCGTTTAGCCTCGATATAGCGTTAATTCACAAGCATGGTAAGCAGGGATGGACTCAGTGGCCGAGTGAATAACGCGATGGCGTTTGAAGCTAAAGGTACTGGGTTCGAGTCCCAGAGTGAACATCAACTCAGATGCAGGTACATCCAGCTGACCATTCCCAAATAGGACGAAACGCACGTCAAACTGGATTCCACTGCTAGTCACTATTCATCTCTGTTTAATAAGTAACACTATTTAAGAAACGACCAATATCAACAGACTTTCAATTCATCGCGAGTAAGAATTCCAAGATTTTTATCAGGTTCGTTTTTTTTCTCAACAAATTTCGAAAGATTTTCATTATACATTGATGTATTGACTAATGTTTGACTGGTTAAAGCTAATTTAGCTGCTTGTCGTTGAAATATTCGTTCTTCCATACCACTTGCTGTTACTAACCGGTATAAATTAACCGATCTAGACTGTCCCGGACGCCAAATACGAGCCATAGCCTGAAATCAAAGAAGAGTTTAACATGTAGAAATTTGGGTAATTGAAGTTTAGAAAAAGAAAAGTTGATATGGTGCCTAAGCATTCATTTACCTGGAATCTTTCAGGAATTTGTTGTGTATATTGCTAAGTAAAACCGATTACTGTATGACGATAATCACATATAGATGAACAAATACAGTTTAGAGGAGCCATGATAATAGATGAAGATATAAATCTAGATTAGTTTATTTACTTATTTAAACACATAAATATGGGTACAAGGAAGCACCAGATACATATGCGCCTCACAAATCTCATTTGATTTGTGTGAGGGCTGTGATACTGCACAGGTGCCCAGACTGAAGAAGGTGGTTTTCTTAGGGGACCACACCCCAAACCTTTGACCTGAAGATCTAGTCCACAAGGCAGTGGAGCATCTTAAGGAGATGCAGTCCCATGGTAGCCGGTGACCAACAATTGGTTCATACACCATTTGTTCCCTCAGGATACTGAAGCCCATGTGCACGATTGGTTTGGAATGAGGGTTTTCAAACTCCCCTAGGTGGACTTCCCGTGTGCACCAACCCGGTTAAAGCGCCGAACATTCGCTTTTCGTCTTATCAATTTCGTAAGCAACACCCCTGGTTCGAGAAGGCAGTGAGTAGGACTTCCCTGACAGAGGCTATATTAAGCATGGCCATATGAGATTACTTCGAGAGGGAGAGCGGACTCTCCCCACTCTCGGCCATACCAGGGCATTTGCGGGCCTTGGGTTGCCGGATTAGTGGATTAGTCATCTGAGATGATTGGTTTATAGTAAGTTACGGTTTTAGAAAAAAAACTATGATACTTATTAGTGTAGGAAACGTACCACTAATTAATGATTACGTTGCATTTATATGAAATGTTTAAGTGAATGTATTTGGTTGAGTAAGCTAAATGACTGGGAAACTCAACATATTGGAAGCTACTAGTTGGTGAATTAAGATCACATTTATACGTAAATGAACACAGGTTAGCGATTAGGCGACATGATATGAAGTTACTGGTATCAATGCGCGCAGACAACTATAGACATGAATTCCACTGGAGAAACGTCGAAATTTTGTATTTAAAGAAACTTGGAGAACGTTAAAGAATTCCTAGAAGCATGATATTAAGATCAATTAACAATCAGCGGGGCATACTGATAATGACCCAATCTATGAAGCCATACAAAAGAGGTCGATCAGTCATAAGGTTAAAGGTCTACCAACAAGGGTATTCAACGTGAACACAAGGGCAAATGACGACAATAAAAATTAATGAAGACAGTCAATCACAAACAAGGGCATTGAAACGAATTGATAAGTCACAGAATAACTGAAAACTTCACATCTGTCAGAAGCAAAAACTCAAGATGTTGTCCAGAATAACAATGAAGACCCATTAATAAAATCATCCAACTTAAATCAGAGGACATAACACCGAGACGAATCAAGTATAAACTTGCCATTGCATTTCTGATAATCACTCTTAAAAGGTAAGTATAGGATAAATAAATACAATAAGAATCTGTAACTGGATTCATCCAGTGAACACTGAACACTAAATAAATATATGAAACGAATTTTACCATCTAAAACATTTACTTCAACCTAAATTATGCATCGACAATTTGACTTCAAGATACAAAGAAAATTATATGAATTCACATAACTAAACGGAGATTATGGGTTCAAAAGAAGTTTGTACAACGTCTTTCTCTTGTTAATCATTAAATGGAACCTCTGTAATCGCTCTTAAGATAACTATCCCTTATCCAGTTAACATTTTCTATTCTATATTAGTATATTTACTGAATCACAATTAACACCCCAACCAACTGACTGGTTGTTACATTCATTGTATTATTCAGTATATAAAAAAAATACGAAGATTTTATTCCACGTATAATCAGTAAATTTATTTGACTACTGAATGAGGATTTTAAACTGTTCACTTCTCCGTCTAATTCGATTTACAAAGTTCAAGTTAGAGTGTATAAACCCATACTTAGTAAGTTCGGACGAGAACAGGTGCTTTCAACGTGGTATGATTGCCCCCAAATGCCCTGGTACGGTTGAGAGTGGGGAGAGTCCGCTCTCCCTCTCGAAATACTCTCACATGGTCACGCGTTTATAGCCTCTGACAGGGAAGTCTTACTCACTGCCTTCTCGAACCAGGGGTGTTGCTTACGAAATTGATAAGACGAAAAGCGAATGTTCGGCGCTTTAACCGGGTTGGTGCACACGGGAAGTCCACCTAGGGGAGTTTGAAAACCCTCATTCCAAACCTATCGTGCACATGGGCTTCAGTATCCTGAGGGAACAAATGGTGTATGAACCAATTGTTGGTCACCGGCTACCATGGGACTGCATCTCCTTAAGATGCTCCACTGCCTTGTGGACTAGATCTTCAGGTCAAAGGTTTGGGGTGTGGTCCCCTAAGAAAACCACCTTCTTCAGTCTGGGCACCTGTGCAATATCACAGCCCTCACACAAATCAAATGAGATTTGTGAGGCGCATATGTATCTGGTGCTTCCTTGTACCAATATTTATGTGTTTAAGTAAATATATAAACTTAATAAGTTACATAATTCTACAATAATTTATACACAAGCTGAATAAAATTTACTATATAAACATATTTTAGAGGAGGGGTAGGTTGAAGTATGCAAACAGAAAAATAAAGAAAGAGTTACTTGTGCATCATTTGCTGGATTCCAATCCATATCGAATAAAATTAGGTAATTGGCACCAATTAAATTTAAACCCACTCCACCAGCACGTGAACTAAGCAATAATATACCTGGATAATTGATCGAATCAAAGAAACAGAAACAAAATTTTGTATTTACTAAACTAGAAATTAAACTACTTGTTTTCATGCGTAAAGATTCCGTTTGTGATTTTTAATCCCACCCCGTTCTCGCTGTTTTTTGTGCAAAATATTATAGTACTTACTAATATTCAGTAACTTAATTTATTTCTAGTCATTTTTAGACACAGCTCATAATGTCTATTCATAATGTGAAAGTTCCAAGCATTGACATGAATCTGTGGCATTCAATCCATTTATTATTGTAATCATATTCTCGTAAGATTTGTTTATCTGTAGAAAATCCCCACATTTACTGTTGCGTAATCACCCGATTGCGCCACAAGACAAGCCCTCACATGGAATCCTGAAGGCCAAAGGAGAAGAGGAAGTCCAAAGAGCACATTATGCCGAGAAATAGAGACGGACATGAGAAGAATGAGCAAAAAAGTGGATAGAACTAGGAAAAAAGGCCCAGGACAGAGTGGGTTGGAGAAAGCTGGTCAGCGACCTATGCTCCATTGGGAGTAACAGGCGTAAGTAAGTTCAACATTTAATTTGTTCTGCAATTGTTGAATAGTGTCACTTAATTTATCATACGCTTTTGTAAATTGCTATTATAAAATCATTGTAAAAGTATTTCCATTTTCATCGTACTTTGACAATATAAAGGCCTTAGAAATGCCACAGTTTCAGGTTTGTGTGAACTTTGTTATTTTATTATTATTACCTATATCGTTTTCCTGGGTAATCGTCAACACCTGAACTAGGGATAGGGAGTGAAGTAGTCAAACGCGCCGACAACTTCACTTATCTTGGAAGTCTAATCAGCCCTAATGGGTCGGTGTCTGACGAAATCTTTGCATGAATTCAGAAAGCTCGTTTGGCTTTTGCCAACTTACGTCACCTATGGCGAAGACGAGATATCCGTCTATCAATTAAGGGACGAGTATACTGGGCAGCAGTTCGTTCTGTTCTACTTTACGGCTATGAAACATGGCCATTAAGAGTAGAAGATACTCATAAGTTACTAGTATTTGACCCCAGATATCTTAGAAATATTGCTCGCATCTACTGGGATCACCGGGTAAGTAATAGTGAGGTTAGACACAAGATACTAGGAAATGATGGCAAATCAGTTGATGAGGTCATGAATATTCATCGACTCAAATGGTTAGGCCACGTGTTACGTATGCCTGAACACCGATTACCACGACTCGCAATGCTGATTAGTGTAGAAGATGGTTGGAAAAGAGTTAGGAGCGGCCAAACCAAAACGTGGCATCAGTCCTTTAAGTCACTAACTTCTAGTCTGAGCTATGTTGGTGGTAGATGCAGACTACTTGGTTGGGGTCCGCCTGACTGTCGTAACCAATGGTTGAAGACTCTGTGTGTCATGGCTCAGAATCAATCACAATATCATAGGTGCATACATTCTCTATCTTCCTTTAAACTATGAGGTTAAAATTGCTTTATATCTTTCTTTCTACCAACTAATTCTTTCTTCCTGTACTATATCCTTATACACAATCTTTCTTTTATACATTACCGCCATTAAATTAACTACTTTTTTGGATTCGGTGTTAATCATGTTGTGCTAATGAGGTATGGCAACTTGGACCGATGCATATATGTGCCTGGTCCTACGTTGTAACTGACTGATTTTCCTGGGTAATTCTTTTACTATAGACTTAGTGACTTTGACGCGTAACTCAATCGTTTCGTCGATATCCTTAAATGAATTCAGTGGGTCTGAATGAGACAGTAAATGATATCAAAACTTGGATATAACTTGCTTGATCAAATGACCTCGTTAAGCTCACACATAAAACACAAACGTATAGGTACTAGCTTATTATAATACATACATGGTCATTCATCAGTTAAAAATAATTTTGTACGATGAATGTAAAATGAAGTAAAGACACTTCCAGTTCATTAATATGAGGACTTCAACTTTATACCACATAGGTTCGGTGACTCAATAAGCAATACAAAACGTTATAGATTCCAATCGAAGCTGGAACATGTTGGATTTATTTTATTTTAACCAATTAAGTAGTGTCTAATCATCGAACTACATCGAGTTATCTTTTTTATAACCAACAAAATCTTGCTGCACATAGAGGGAAAATAAACAACTTTGGAGAGAATGAAACAAAGACCTAGTCATTCAAAAGCTTTGATTCATAAAAACAGCCTAATTCTTGAGTGTTTCAATGGTAAATTTTTCAAGCGACTTACGATCATGAGATTTTGGATCATTGATTCTCTGAACAACTTCAGCGCGTTGTTTATTCGTTGTCTGTCCATCTAATCGAAGAGATGGTTGTCCAGTGACTAGATTACATAATTTCTCCAAAAGATTAAGTGTCTGGAATATGGCAAACGGAAAAAAGTACAAGATTGATGAATTGACTTATATTTTGAAGTACTGTTTCCATAATATATATGTATGTTAAAAAGAAAGCCGAGAAGATCCAACAATGTTTATGCACGATCAATTAGCCGTAGACCAGTGTGGGACCTAGTATGAATTCTTATCATTTGACAAGCTATATCTACACAGTGAGATGCCAGAGTAGCAGAAGTATCAGTGGTACTAGTGTCTCTTGTATCAGCTAGTAGAGAATAATTTAACGATATGAAAAGAAATAAAGACGAAAGGATAGTACCAATAATAATATTCGTGACAAAGAAAATCTAAACTAATGAGAAGGAAGACATTATATAGGAATAATATATATTTGTAAAATCTCAGCGAATGAATTTGTAGTCTTACATCAACTCGGCGCTCAAATACTGTGAAACTATTCGCTCTAATTTAGACGAGAGTTCTTATATAATGAGAAGGAAGTTTATATGTCAGTAAAACTGTATGAACCCAGTTTTTACCACAGACTAATATCATTTGGAAAAGCACTGAACACAAATGCGGCAATGTTAATCTTCTGAGAACTGCTGGGATATAATAGTTGCCTTCTATGCACAAAAGTAATACAAATTAATAGAGAGAATAGTATAACAACGTTTATAGTAATCAAGAAATAATACTCACCTGAGTAAAATTGGAAACTAATACAAGACGATCATTAGTATGTAAACTATTTTTACTACTACTGTTAGAAAGTCGAGGTTTTTTCTGAACATTTTCTGTATTACTATTTGATTTGGACGAAGATGATAGTTCTTTGTCAAATAGTCGTTTTAACATAATATAAAGAACATGGAACTTTCCAGATAATTGAACAAATTCATTCAGATTTGTATAACAGAGATCTTGTGCAACTATTGAAGGTTCAGAATTTAACAAATGCAGTAAATCTGTGGTCAGTTTTGCGGGTAGCTATATGTGAGAAAAAAAATGATGAAACGTACACAACTAAAGGAACTAATTTACATAACTTTATTCGATGAAAATATCCAGAGAAAAACTGTGTACTAACTTACATGGTATGGAGGATTGCCAGATTCCATTCTCAAAAAGACCACTACTTGCAGGACGGACAATCTTGCTGATTATCCGAACACTTAGTTTGGAGTAATTTTTAAACAACATGCCAAAAAAACCTAAAACTCTGTTAACATTTAACAGTTGAAACAACCACCTGGCTACAAAACAGGGAATGATTCGCCATATTGTTTATAAGAGGTTTTAAATATTTGATCAAAGGTTGCACGAAGGATAACTATTTCATGTCGTCAAGATATAAGTAAGTAATACTAAGATCAAATGCAAGCTACCATGTTAAACAAAAGAAAAAGCAATTAAAAGAGTTTCGAGTTTGTATCAAACGGTGTGTGTGTGTGTTTAAGACATCCGTTGTTATGAATTCAGTTACCAACTAATACGATTAATAATGTTAACTGAAATGAGTGAAAAAGTGGGAATAAAAAATAACCTTGAGGAGTTACTGATTACATGTGTAAATTATACAAAAGGTTGAATAGGACGAAACGCGCGTCCTGGATTCCACTGATAGCCACCATCCATTTTTGCTTACCATACTTGTGAATTTAGGCTATATCGAGGCAATACGCACAGTATGCACATATGCCAATTAGAGACTGACCAGTTGCAGTCCTAAAACATCAATGGGAAGATTCAAACAAACAATACTAAGTGAATTTAAAAAGTTGAATAGTTTTAAGATATAAAGGACCATTGTGATTGAACATGTTAGATAACATGATCTAAAATCTAGGCTACCGACATATACTATATCTATCTTTTTTATGTTGTTTATTTTTGTGAGTTTATCTGTGTGGATTCTAGGTAAGAGGACTGATGCAACAAGATATCAAGTTACATTGTTATTAGTTCGGTAATACTAATTTCTAAAGTTTGCCGAAATGATTTTTTAAGAAGTTGAGGAGTTGCGGATATCCTACAGTGTTAAGAATGAAGCGAATCGACTTTTAAAGTATAACCATAAATATGTAATCAAATTCATTGGGATGTGATACAGTGCTACCATATAATATTATTTGACTCTATCTATCTAAGTGGCTTGTGGATTTGTTACATGTAAAAGTAATTTTCTACACACACTGAAATAAGCTGATAGATAGTTGTAAACCAGAATGTGAAGAATATTTATTTTTCCTACGTTTGTCACATCCCAGGGATTTATATGAGACAAAGCCCAGAACATTCAAACCTCACGAGGAGTCCAATACTATAAGTCATGTAACCACCACTGAGACGATCATCAAAATGGGTTCAGAAAAGCTTTAGGAAGAGACTGTGATATATACTTATGATGAAGAATTTCAAATTATGATAGCGTCATTTAGTTTAACATTGGAGAGCATTCAAAAAAATACAGAATAAAGACAATTAAGTGACAGTTTCCTTAAGTAACATTTTAGAATGAAGTAAATGAGTAAAGTATGACTAAGGATACATTATTATTATGACCAACAAACTATTCTGTGGAAGCTCAACACTTGAAGTTCCTTAATTTGAAAAAATAACAACTTACACGATCAGCTGATTGATTTTGGATAGAATTAGACTGTATTAAATAATTTCTTAATAGATATGGATGATTGTGAAGTTTTCGAAACGCTGTTATAACTGACAAAATGGAACTATGATGTTTTGAACGTGATGACGACACGCCTTCTTCAGATTCAACAAAATCTTCACAATCATCATCACATGAGAATAATTTAAGAGATTCACTTCGATTTAAATTAAATTCATTATTCATCCACTGTGTAAGTATAGCCTCCAAATCAGTTTGCAGTTTACTCGGACGACAAAACAAAACATGTTCAGCTATATATAGAGAATAAAACAAGTTGAAAACAACCAAATAAGCAGACTGTTGGTAGAAAATATCTACTCATGTTAGATGGTTGGAAGCACTCGAGAGTAAGCCCTGTTTAACTTCAGTTTCGTGATAGTTACCACACGCAAGCAAGACGTACCTGAACTCTCAAGGGTTTCCTGCAGACTACATCCAACCATCTAACATCAAGGTATAGTGCATATGATGTCCAGTCACTCAGAATAGTAGCCACATTGTAACTTGATCGATAGAATTCGATTGGGACTAAAGAACTAGATAAATATGACATTGGTCACTACTCATTGATCAATCAATGTATCTTTATTCATTTAGCGATTTAGAGAGCAGATGGGATATTCCCATCATAATGAATAATTGATAAATCCATTAACGCTAATTAATGATCAAGTACACTTTTATGTACCCAGCTTTGAATCATATTATTTGTATGGTTAATATTAATACCATTTTGTTTCCTCAATTGAGACAGATGAAAGGCGACTCGAACTTGAGACCAAGTGACTGAAAGTTATGTAGCTGTTCTGTTTTCATATAGGACTCTTAAGTAGTGCAAACCTATAAATATATGCAGAACGAAATCTAAGAAGATTAGATCTCACAGTAAGTATCATGCCATTCAGTAAGACGTTAAGTAGTCAAATGCCAAACAAAAAGTTCATGTAGCAGTGAACTGTGTAAGTCACGCATTCTGAATATCTTTCGACTAAAAATTTTGGCTTAATTAGTGACATTTTAATCCGTCCATAGGTAACAGGTATGACTTAAAATCTACTGCATAAGCTTTTACATAGTTGTTAAATCCCATTTCACTGTCTAACTTTTCATACGAAAGAAATTACTCGGAACTAATTACTTTTACAGTGACATTGTTATAATTTCCAAGTTTCATTCACAACAACAGGTGCTTACGAATTATCTGTAGCACTAAATAATATTTAGATATGATCCTTATACACACACTAGTAAAGAAATATATCAGTAACCGATCAAGAAAATCGAATTGACTACTACGATAAAACAATGAATTTTTATCATATCACAAGAATACTAGAATATAGTTTTAGCAGTTAGGGTCGATGATAGGAAATCGGGTAGATAAGTGTTTTATGGTTCTATATGGGTGATTAATTATGAAGAATTTACATCAACTTTGAACTTCAGCCTAAGTATCTTTACAAGAAAACAAGGGTGTTAAGTTTATCTTACATTGTTCCTATTCACTCTCCTCCCACTCCTTTGTTTATTGTTTATATTTAGTAAGCAGTTGTATCCTTAACAATTTCCACATTTACATTGTAACGCAAGTTGTACTGTGACATTTGGAAACGTTCACCTATACTTATGTTTATTGTACTTATCATTGTATTTGTCATTATAATCACTGTACTTTAATTACTGTAACGGTTATCCACAGTTGTGTATTTGTTTAAAAGCAACAGTTTCCATATTGTTGGCTCTTGGTTCGAGTTTCGATTGTTCATAAAATGTTGTCCAATTTCGACACAGCTATCGGCTGTCTTTGTACTATCGGAGCCTTTGCTATTTTCATTCTTGAACGACGCGTTTAAACGCCTAGACACCTCACAAGTTGAGGTTTGTAATTAAATTTTGTGTTTTGTATAATAAAGAACCGCTTTTGTAGACAAATCGTTGTTTTGCAACTTCGATTTTGCGCGTATCTCAATCAGGTCACTTGGACGCTTCGATAGACTTAACAAAGGGTAAAATAATTTAAGAACACGGTAATGGGTTAGAGGAGTATGGACATTTTACACGCTTGTGCTTGTATGTTATCACATGGTCAAACGGTAAGAAGTTATAGACGAGAGACGCTATAGGGAGAGAGGTCAACCATGCACATACACAAGGTTTCACCCTGCGTGTCCAAGTCTGAACCAGAAGGACATTTGTATGAATCGTATACGTTATAAATACACTTGGCAATTAAACCTTTATATTTATTACAGCCTTTTCATCTGTATATTGAGTTTGGTATACATCAAGTAGTGTGCATGACAACTTAATAAAACTGTAGTACACAATATTCGAACAGGAAGTTCCATATCTTAACTAAATTTACATGTATACAATTATAGAGCTAACTCACATAAAAAAGATTTTTAAAAAGTTAAAAGCACTTACTTTTATCTGTTAGTTTTGGTGCAATGACATCACATGTACGTCTTAAAAAGAAACTGTTCAATAGTCTGAATAATTTGGCTGATGGACTTTCTAAATCATCACTGTTCTTTTCATAGTCTGTATAATTCCAAGAATCACAAACATCATCATCATCATTGGTAGCATTGTGAAGATTGACTTTAACATTTCGTACTAAGTTACGATTATTTAATAATGGAATAACAAATTGACGACGAAACTCTTCTAAACTTGAAGTTAAACGTCCTGGTACACAGAAATTAGCCAATGACCATAATTCATTCAAATGATTTTGTAATGGAGTCCCAGTTAATAGTAAACGTCTACGTGCACGTAGTCGACAAAGTGCCTAAATTATACAATAGAGGAATACAGAATTAAAATATTTCTTAACTAATCAAAGCTTAGTAACGATGGGAGGATGAAGAGCAATCTATTACATATTAATTCGCTATGTCTGTAACTTGTTTGATAAGATAAGTATGCCTGACGAGCCCAAAGTCAAGTGAAATGCACTTCCTGGATTCCACTGATTTCTGTATACTAAACATATTGAAACTTGTCGCTTAACTGCTATATCGAGGAAAATCTGCTCAGGATAGAAATATGAGGACAGAGACTGATTGACTGCAGTACTGAATATCAACAACAGCAAATTACAAATCATTATTAGTTATAACAGTAAAATATTTCAATGAGTAGAAATTTAAACTTTTGACGTTTTGTGGCTTAGTATGAGTTGCTTCTTCAGAAAATATATAGATCAAATTAATTATGGATTGTTTAAGCTACCATAAATCTGAAGAAGAGACTTACATCAAAATATGAGACTTTAGAAATTCAATTTTCTACTCACTTGGATATTACAAATATATCGTTTTATTTTCATGAACAATCCACCAAATGCTCAATTTATTTTAAATTATCACATCAGACCTTGTTAATGATGCTGACATTACCAATTATCTTATGTTAGAAAATGTAGGGACTTGATCTATCACTTTAGAAGCGAAACTTTGAAATATTATGCTATGACTTAATAAGATGGTGGTTGGAGGTGGTCAACAGGAAACCCTGGACCCGGGTTTCGTGCTACTTGGCACTCATCAGCAAGGTGTACCTGTAATCTTGAGGGAACTGGTGCTCCCTGACGGATTCGATCACGTGTCACTCAGCTTCACAGTCAGAGACGTTACCATTGAGCGATTCGGGCCGCGACCGAGCTCCTGTAGGACTGAGATGTAATCACAATTGATTGATCACTGGGTGGTGATCAATGTCATGCGTGTCAAGTCCTTCTTAGTGCTGACCGAATGATATCGATCAAGTTGCAATGTGGCCACTAGTCGAGGTGGCTCGACACTGCGTGCACCATACATATTGAGATAAGATGGTGGTTGGAAATGGTCAACAGGAAACCCTGGACCCGGATTTCGTGCTACGTGGCACTAGTCAGCAAGGTGTACCTGTAATCTTGAGGGAACTGGTGGCTATGACTTAATCTTCTATTCATCAATATTTTTTTAAAGATGCCAAGTTATATGTACTTTTTGTTAAGAGATTCTTTGGTAGTCATGTGATACTCCGAAAAATGCATCCGATAAAGAAGTTAACTATTTTTATGAATATTGGTATGTACTGGGGAATAATAATGAAGAATACTCTTTCTTTTAAAAAAAATATGAAAATTACTGTAAGCGCAAAAGTTGGAATAAGAGAAAGATAAAAAACGACAAAATGTTTCATCGGGAGTGTCAGTACTGAGATGTAGATTGACAAGTCCTGAATAAAATGAAAGATTATACACCATCTTACTGACTTCATTTGATGATCGAATGAACGGACGATAGAATATGAATCTTTCGATTAACCTCGTTTGGGCGACAATGATAATGAAAGCCAAATATGAATTATATTGGAAGAGTTTATTCGAGACATTCATTTATGCAGACAGACAACAGGATGTATGAACATGGAGAAAGGCTTCTTAGACTACTCAATTTAATTGAAATGTGACTCAATATTCATGGTACTAAAAGATACAAGCAAGCATATCGACAGATACGTACAGTCATACGCATACGCTCAAGGTAACACGTAGATGAAAAAATGAATAGGATCATTAAGATCATTCATCTGTCCAAAAGTAAGGATAAATCGTGTAGACGTGTAAAAATGTTATTTACCACAATATACACCCTACATTTAACTGTTATACCCATTATAAAAAAATAATCAGGTGGAAAAGATAAGCAGTATCGAAGTATTCATTTGAAGAGCCGATATAGTATCAGATACTGATTAAGTCAATTCCATTTATGAGTAGTGCAGAATATTGAACGGCCGTAACTCAGATTGTTAAATTTATTTTTCACTAAATGAACCATCTAAGATTTTTCAAAGCTTTCTTTAGAGTAATAACTGACAATGGACTATTACGTAATCCCTATTGTGTCTAATTTGTACGCGTTAGTATACAAGCTTGGGTTCGTAAAATATAATATGCAAATTAACAATGGATGAAATCATCGCTAAATGTTGAAAACCTGTACACAAGTATTACAATTGTAAATGTCTTCTGCAAGGCAGCTAAATCCCAAATTTCATATAGTTCTAATGATGTTGGGTGCGATGTAACTAATATGTATTCTGCGTACGAAAATAAATATTCAGGGAGAAATATCCTGAAGTAAGGTATTTTGTGAAGAGATTTATCTTGAAACTGGTTTTTGTCAAAAACAGGATATCAGATAAAGAGAACCAACGAAAATCAAGGCAAACTGGACTGGTTTCTTGCTAGTTTGAAATTTCATGACAGCGCATACTACCTCACACAGGCTCAAAAGTAAGATTTTGGAGTTTCATAAGGAGTAAAATACTTTTAATCCAGAATCCAACAATTTGTGACACAGGACAGCCATGGGCTTAGTTTTATGTTGGATTTTAGACGTAAACTAGTGAGTCGCTCGAAACAAAAATTGAACAGCTCTTCAGTATTTCCTAATCCCGCAGCTGAAATCAATTTAGGATGAAAGCCACGTCTAAACTAAACATGGTGCCATCGATTTTCAACAACTAAGCACATGAAATTACTCGTGGTGTTAAGAAATCAACTATATTCACCGTACATTCTCTTACATGCGGTATAAAAGCAATCGGCTCCAGAAATATATACACATTTTAAAGCAATAACATAATAATAACAATTGAGGACTATACAAATATCACAACATTCAAGAAAAATACGCACCAGCGACTTTAAACTATCCCACTAGTTCCTTCGAAATTGATAGCACTTTGCTGATATGTTTCATTAGAGTGATCACTGATTGCTCAATGATTAAAGGAAGATATGTCTCGGTACATTTAGCATAAAAGAATATTTTATAATGCGAAGTTCATTCTGCTTACTCGGTGCTTTCTACCTGCATCAATAACCTCTTGTTTGAGACCCGGATATGATCGAAGGGTCGTTTCATTAAGTAACTGTGCGGGCCACGTAATCAAGTAACGTGATCTAGTGTTTATTGCTAGTAGTCTGCACAAGCCAACCTCTGTTATGACAAACTGACGACTAATTTATCAATTAAAATACGTATATAACTGTCCATCGTTACATTACATATTCTGTGTACCAATGAACAAACAAAATCCAAACAACCTACCATAGTTGTATTGATGTTGGAATTTTTTAATCTATGCCCTTCATCACATACAACCATATCCAAGTCGGAAATTTCATAGATTTCACTAGTATGTTGTAGAAACATTTCGTACGACATAAGAATGACTTGTGGTGCATCACTGGACATTGTTAGATAGTTCTGAAGTAAAGAAATATGACAAAGAAAATCAGTGTTGCCGATAGAGAAAGGTGGAAAATAATGGAAAAATCTAACAAAGACTGTTGTTTATATTACCATTAGTACAGGTTTTAGTTGTCCTATTGTTGATATTTAGAATAAAATTTTGATCGATCCTTGTTGGCATATGTGGACGTGGCATATACAGATCGCCTTAATACGGTGATTTTGTCACAAGCCTTATAGAAAAGATGGATTTTGACTAGCAGAGAAATTTAGGAGGCGCGTTTTGTCCGGTTTGCGACTTGTCATCTGAACAAACCTGCATCGTGATTTTGACATGTACACTGAAACTTAAACTCACGATGCAGATATGGTGAGAGATCCTGAATATCGACGACGGAAAATTACAAATGGTTATGAAGAATGTTTCTATGTTGTTACAAAAATGTTACTGGTTTTAGGATGCGTTACAGATGACACTCGAATCACATGTAAACAAAATGGCCAGTTGTCATAACCTGAGACTTTAGGACCAGAAAGAGACAAAGGTTATCAAATTAAAAATATAAATACAAACTGTTTATGTAATTTATTTACATTCCATATGTTCGATTTTCGAAACACACTAAATGTGAGTGTTAATTATATTGCTCGGCTGCTGAAATTGAAGTCGATAAAGCAAGGATCAAACATGTAAATAAGCTGTTGAAAGTTTAATTGTTTAGCCACTAAGCAACTGGCTCCACATATACTGTTTACATGGTTCTCAATAATTGTCAAATTATTCTACAAATAATGAAAAACAGAATAATCGGACATGATCAAGCAAAAACTCACTTTAACAGAATGATTTTGATCTACACAATATACGGGTAACTGTTCACGACCTAACCATTTGGAGAATTCCTTTAGCCAATTCTAACATGAAGTGAATAAGAGAAGAAAGGCAGAATATATAATAAAAGCCAAAAAAAATTATTAGTAAGATGAAGTTGTATTTTGAAAAAAATAATAAACTAATTACCTGAATAAGTGTACCCGGAGTTACAATAAGGCAACGTCGAATAACCGGTCTACCTCCATACGGTCCTTGTCTAATTAATAACCAAATAGTGGCAATGGCTTGAACTGTCTTACCAAGACCCATTTCATCCCTAATAAATTAACAAAAACTTATTAGGAATGACGTTGCCTTCTCATTTACATAATGAATATAAAAACAATGGTAGTGTGTTGTAGTAAATATACAAGTAGCGCATAGTAGGACAAATATAGCTTGAAGAATGTTTAAAAAAAATACAATTAAATAGTCTAATACAGGTTAATTAAACACCATCAAATTTACTCTATGTTAATAATACAGTAGAGTGGTATCTTACAGACCAATATATCTTATTAGAATAAGGCATTAATAAAGATATAAATCGGTAATAATCACCCACTGATTTGTGTACAACGCGACGGTACTATACTTTCTATGTTGAGGCTAATTATGCAGATTGAATTATTATACTACAGTAGAAATACTAAGTTCTCATTTATGATTTTAACGACTAGATTGCTATGTATACACAATATTGATACTAAGCAACAAGAGTTAAAATTCAAAATACGTCGTTCTATGGGTTTGATGGACCATTAAAGTGATTGTTGATATTTTCGCTGAGTCGTGTCACTTTTATAAATCCACACGCTATAAGAGTGTTCGTGCAGATGGTGAGCAACACTAGATACGAATTTCGCAACGGGTATTGCCTGTTATTATGGTGTTTTGCTTACTAATTTAGACTTGGAGAATTCTATTTATCCATCCCGATTTAATGGGGGTATTGAGTGAACATATATTTTATTAAGGGAATTGAATTAGTACGAAATATTTACCAAGAATTATGGTGAATCTGCACAGTATGTTCATATTCTAATACGGGTCATTTTTACGGCATGGAAAAAGATCGAAAAACGTCAGTACACAAATACAGGTAAAGGTTGTCTTTGTCGTGCGGTCAAAACTTAGACCGAAAAAGTTAAAACTCACGCTAAAATACATCCATAAGTACTTTGTGCATCAGATTCATTCAAAGCAACATACGGTTGAAATCCCATTAAACATTTATACAAGAAAATAATACCTTCACATTGATGCGGCTGTAGACGTGAAGCAAACTTTGATTCTAAAACTACATCCACAATAGGGAGGTTGTCGGGATTCTGAGACCACTAGAAATTTTTTGAAAAAACGACGAATTAATCCATAGATAAAGTAGATTATTAGGTCAAAGAGTAACATTAGACCTGAGAATAGTTAAATCTCTATGAGTAACAATGAAACTAAACTTTTTGTATAGACACTGTCTCTACGATTAATATTACAACTGTTTTGTTGGCTGCTCTGTTCAATCCATTTGCTCATATTGGTGGATATATATACTGACTATTAGGGCTGCAGTTCATTTCACAAACAATCATTTTAATCTTCAACTTCATTAATGTAGAACCTATGTGGATACATTTATTATTTATTTGAACACATGAATACAGTGGTTTTGAGTGGTTATGGTGAAGACGAAATATCCGTCTAGCAATTAAGGGACGAGTATATTGCGCAGCAATTCGCTCTGTTCTACTTTACGGCTGTGAAACATGGCCATTAGGAGTAGAAGATACTCGTAAGTTAATAGTACTCGACCACAGATGTCTTAGAAGTATTGCTCGCATCTACTGGGATCACCGGGAAAGTAATAGTGAGGTTAGACACAGGGTATTAGGGAATGATGGTAAATCAGTTGATGAGGTCATGAATCTGAGATGGTTAGGCCACGTGTTACGTATGCCTGAACACCGATTACCACGACGCGCAATGCTGATTAGTGTAGGGGATGGTTGGAAAAGAGTTAGGAGCGGCCAAACCAAAACGTGGCATCAGTCCTTTAAGTCACTAACTTCCAGTCTGAGCCATGTTGGTGGTAGATGCAAACTACTTGGTTGGGGTCCGCGTGACTATCGTAGCCAATGGTTGGAGACTCTAGGTAACATGGCTCAGAATCGATCACAATGGCGTAGGTGCATATACTCCTTATCTTCCCTTAAACCTTGAGATTGAAATTGCTTCATAACGTTCTTCCTTCCTATACTATATCATTATATACAACCTATCTTTTATATATTACACCACTAAATTAACTATTTCTATGAATCCGAGGTTCGTCTTGTTGTGCTAACGAGGTATGGCAACTTGGACCGATGCATATATGTGCCTGGTCCTACGTTGTAGCTGACTGACTATTTGAACACATAAATATTGGTACAAAGGGACACCGAATACATATGCACCACACAAGTTACTTCATTTTTGTGTGGGCTATGATACTGCCGGGGTGCTCAAACCGAAGCAAGTGGTTTTCTTAGAGGACCACACCAAGAGCCTTCGACCTAAAGGTCTGATCCACAGGGCAGTGGGGCAATGTCAGGATGCAGTCTGATGGTAGCCGGTGATCAACGATTGGTTCGCACGCCATCTGGTCCGTCAGGATACTGGAGTTCATGTGCACCATTGATTTGCAATCAGAGTTTTCCAACTCCCCTAAGTGGACCCTCTGTGTCCACCAAACCCTGATAGTGTGTTAGCCACACGTTACCCATTGGCAGATTAATGGCCTCCATCAGATTTTCAATTTTTTATGTTCTAAGAGCTTTGTGTGAAATGGGAGGTTGATAAAAACATACAATAAGGATCTAGTAATATCCATCTAGAGGCGATCACTTGATTAAGTAACTTTAGGTCCTTAGTCTACAACCGAGAAACTAATAATCTTGCACGGATTAGATTTCCGACTCTAGAGTGTGAGCGTAGAATCACACATAATGAACGTTATTTTATAGTACAATTTAAACACCACAAATCTAAATATAGTAAATAAATAAATAATCAGATATGTTTAATTGCTTCATAATTTGCAGTAAAACTGAAAAAAAAAACGTTAAATTACAATGTAACAGGCACACTGGACTATGAATGTGAGAAACGCTGACAAAATATACACATTTCATAGACATTACAAAGACAACTTAAACGGCACCCATGTCAAACAATTACTTTAATCATTTAGACTAAGCAAACTAACCAGAAATCAACCTTTGAAAAGTCTATACAAAAAGGAATGAGTTAATTGATATTCATACCCTTCTTACCGAAATACAACCAAGCAATGTATGTATAAAGGTATGTCAATTATTTGTCGGGTATTTTGATCATGATATAGGATCGAATCAACAACTATTTTTTTAACAGTGCAATGAAACTAGGTTTCATCGTGATCACTTTGAACAATTAACAACAAAATCAAACGACGGTTATCAATTTTCGTAACATTTTAATGAATTTCAATGTCTACTGTTCATACTTTACAAAAAAATTAATCTTAGTTAGACAGTCATTAAAAACAAAGAAAGATTGGATAGCTGTTTTCTCCCAGCATATAACTCCTAAACAAGATTCAGTCACGAGACCACCACTAGAGATCGAACGCGCGACCTTCAATTTTGGTACCAAGGGTTTAACATTTAGACCACTAAGTCGGTACACTATCTAACTTCAATCGATTTTCGGCTTGATAGGATCGGTAAACAGACGAAAGAGATTTTTTCTGGACTACAACTTTCAAGGGACTTCATGACTAAAGACCAATCGATGAGTATCATTATTCGTCTGACTTCAAATACGAGAATTATACTTGTCATCATTATTATTCAAAAGAGTGGATTTAATAGGCAGTAATCTTGTGTTAAATGATCAAAACCTAATAGGAAATTATAAGCAGAGATGGATGGTGGCTAGCACTGGAATTTAGGACGTGCGTTTTGTCTTATTTGGGACTCGTCAGCTAGATGTACCTGTATCCCAGAGTTAATGTTCACTCCGGGGACTTGAACCTAGTACTGTTCGCTCCAAACACCATCGCGTTATTCACTTAGCTACTGAGCCCAGATACCCACTATCTTGTGCAATGGGGTGAAGTTGTAATTCCTTTAATTCAGTCAATGAAATTGACCAATTGCAGTCCTAAACATCGATGGGAAGATTCAAACAACCAATACAAAATGAAAAAGAAATGTACTGAGAATCCAATAAACAAATAATAAGCCAAATATCTAAATTTCCATGAGACTAAATTATATAAAAATCTTGAAGACATGTGGTACTAGGCAATACTTTAACATTATGAAGACCTGTATTTGACTGGTCATAAGTAGAAAAGTGAATAAATGACGAGGTTTACAATTAAGTTACTACTCTTACAATGCAGTTAGCAGGAGGCTTTGGCATGATCAGTCGGTTTGAAGAACCCCAGGGCTCATCGTGTTTTGATTTGGAATTCGTCTACAAGACACCAAAATCGAGATTATGTTGTACATAAAGTGAGATATAATATGGAAATATACATACAATTTATAAATCAATATTAGAAAATTAACTAAAACATTTAGGAGACGTGTAAGACACAAAGCCAAAGAGATAATTGTACAGCTTAATTCCGTTACTAATAAAAAGATAATCAGTCCTTATCAGCTAGAACTAGTATATTTAAAAACTGACCACCAGGCACTAGTCAATATTATGTTGCTTAGTTTCACTGAATACTCACAAACATCCACATCTTTGTTATGTACTACTTACGGTTTGCTGCTGCTGTATCCGTTTTTAAAGAGCTTACACACGCATAGAATAGTCATCGGTTTAAAATTTATCAGTTTTTTCTAGAATATTCATTTCTGTAATACTCAGCAAACAGGTCTTAGTTTCGGGTATGGATCGGTCAACCAAGTATTCAACCTCCGTCAGTTCCTTGAAAACCATCATACGTATTCTTTGTTGAAGATTGTGTCTCTAAACACCAAGGCTACCCTCAATTCGTTTAGAGACTGTTATTGAGGAAGCATTTATATGAGGTGAAATATAACTTAGTTGCATTAATAACTCATCAGTATTGTTTAATAAATATTTATTCTGTTTCATTTGTTTCTTTAGTGACTAGTTTTAAGCTTTTCGCGTCCTTTGCCTTACAATATTTTCAGCTCACAATTTGGGCAACATTTCTTGGTCTCCTATCACAACATGCTTTTTGTATGATAATAATACTACGTAGACATGGTAACAATCATAACGAATACACTAGTTTCCAGTAAATGCAAATGGAACTTTATAAGAAACGATAATATCCATGATGAAAGTCGACAAATCTCTGCCCCAAATAATTTTCTTGGACTTTATTGGGCTCAGTTTATTTTCCAATTCAATACTCCCTTAAACGAAGCAGGTAAATTTTCTCAAAGACTGAAACCAGACGGTGGAATGAAACTAATTTGATGCAGCAAAAACAGGAAAAACAAACCACTTTGAAATGTCTTTATGATGAAAATTAGCATTTGACTCGTTCATTCGAGATGCCATTCAGGTTCCAGCTGTTTTTTTGAAAATCTAAATTGAACTGGGATAGTTAGTCCAAAAAAAGACTTTAGTACGATTTATCAACGACTAGAAGTGACTTTTCAAAGAATGCAGATAGCTCACGTGAACAGCAATGAGTTTTACTCACGGTATACGGCAATCTGTTACAAGGACTAACACAAAGACTATTGAGTAACTAAAGCCCATATACAATTCCAGTCAATATAATACCTTGCAAACGTATGTTAATGTCTCTTGGTAGTTACGTTTATCAACTAACTCTCCTGTAATATCTTGAAGTTATTTTCCTTGTTTAGATGGTCTCAGCAACTCCACCCGTCAAACTAAGGTTTTATGGCAGGAAAATTAGTTTATACAACTGCAGATATGCCTTTAACTTCTGTACTTTAGGACGGAAAGCCGAAGCATTCAAAATGAAACGTCAGTGTAACCATTTATTAGTCTCTTAGGTTGATCCTAAAGGTATCAAATCCAAAAAACTATTCTTAAAAGGTTCTAAGAGATTAAAGGATTGAAGTTAAAATGGACTCTGAAATAAAGATTATTCCGGAAATAGATATTATTTAAACGGTACCTTCGGTGAAAAGCTAGGTTTTGCGCTCGGTTTTCTTGTCGAATTTTCGACTGGAAATAAGAACAAACTAGATACAATATAATACACTAGTTACCCGGTGCATGTAACGCCTCAATGTTATTTGACTTTGAGGAAAGATTGACTAACTGTGGCTTCTCTATCAGTGAAATAAGCTCTGCCTCATAAGACCCAATATGGACAACCGAACCAATATCGACTTCATTTAAAAATGCTAATTTATGACCAGAAGCAGATGCTATTCTATAGTTGGAAAATTACCGGTAAATTTACCTTCATTAAAAAATAGGACTTACACTTTCAAATCTTCATTGATAAGTTTTATTAGTCGACCTTCGACCTCTACAAAACCTAAAAAATTACGTAGAGATAAACAAGATTGGTGGCTGTTTACCATCACCTTCCCACCTTTTATGCTAAAATGCAAGCAAAACTAGTTAACGCCATTCACCCTACCTTTTTATTCGACGCTTTAGCATATACAGCCTCGAAATAACTGGAACATTTCGTAGCATGAGACAAATCAGAGTTTGTAGGCATATTGTTCATTTTAGGACTTGAGGAGCAGTGTAAAACTGACCTGTACTCAGTCGTTTTTACGGGGTTGGGATTTATCGACAGATCTTGAGACTGACTAGTACGACTTGGTGCTGCAGATCTCCGCATATTACTTTCTAAATGAAACGTTACAATTATCAGTTTCAATGGAATGATTATATCAATAAAATTGAAAAAGTGACTGCCGAGAACAAGGTTCTTTATCACCTGATGGGAACAACTCGTTCTTTTCCAGCTATTTGAATATACCTAAAAAACACTTTTAAACAGTTATCTTTTCTTATGCAAATGCTTGATTCAGTTAAACTTATGCTATCTTTCTGAGGACTTATCTTAAGCAAAAACAGCGATTATGAGGCAAATGTAATCAATGTTCTTTCGCTTAAAAACCTTACCTTTTGATCATTCTGTTTGTGAATCTTTATTCCTAGTGAATGTTACATCAAAGAACTAACCAATAGATTGTTAAGACTAGTATTTTGTAGCTTGTTTCGTTTTCTAATTTTACATCAAACGAAAATAATTCATAAAGAAAACGCCACTATAGCTAATATATCTCTGGGATAAGACATGTCGACAGTGAATATAACTTCCATTCGATACATTTCTATGTACGGATGTATGAACAACATAATGTTGAATTTATGATTTAGCTGGATAAACCTGAATACACAGTCAACAAACATTTCAATTTCATAGACGAATGGACATCAAACCCATTAAAGTCCAAACCCTTTAGTAAGGTTGACTACAAAGAAACATTTGATGGTGATAGTTCACTTCAGAGAAGGGAGGAGTGAGTCAGCTACAACGTAGGATCAGGCACATATATGCATCGGTCCAAGGTGCCATAATCTCATTAGCACAACAAGATGAACACCGAATTCATAGTTAATTTTATAGTGGTAATATATAAAAGAAAGATTGTCTATAAAGATATAGTACGGGAAGAAAGACAGATATAAAGCAATTTTAATCTCAAGGTTTAAGGGAAGACAAAGAGTGTATATGCTGATGCCATTGTGATCTATTCTGAACCATGTCATACAGAGTCGCCAACCATTGGTTACGATGGTCATGCAGACCCCAGCCAAGTAGTTTGCATCTACCAACATGGCTCAGACTAGAAGTTAGTGACTTCATGGACTGATGCCACGTTTTGGTTTGGCCGTCCCTAACTTTCTTCCGTCTCCAACACTAGTCAGCATTGCGCGTCGTGGTTATCGGTGGTTGGGCATGCGACCATCTCAGTCAACGAAGATTCGAAACCTCATCAACTGACTTACTATCATTCCCTAATACCCTGCGTCAAACCTCACTATTACTTACCCGGTGATGCCAGCTGATGCGAGAAATGTTTCCAAGACATCTGTGGTCAAGTACTATTAACTTACGAGTATCCTCTACCCTTAATGGTCACGTTTCGCAGTGTGAAGTAAACCAAAACGAACTGTGAAGCAGTTTGTTAATCAGAATGCGTTTCGTAAAACGCGAACTTTAAGGCAGACCACACCATTACTAATTCACTAAATAATAGGAATACTTATTGCTAAGAATTCTAAAACATGTTGCTATTTCTATGCACACAGTCTCGTAACTCTACTTTGTCTTCTCAGTGGTCTAGTCATAATAAACATTGGGACTCTGGCTTAAAAAGACGGTGAAGAGGTATGTGTGGCGAAACACTAACATACAACACCTGCATCTGAGCCATATCACCCGACATCTATAACCAGTGTTTGGCATTATCGTGCGGATGCCAACCAGGTAGTCTGCACCTACACAGTCCAAAACAACAGCTAGAGATATCATAAATTGACCCCAGACATTGTTTAGCTGCCCCTGACCTTTTCCTAAGTTACTCCTAAATTCGCCAAAATTGAACGACGAGGTCGGTGTGGGTTGGTTACACGCAACACACACCGGGAAGACCTCAATCGGTGAACATATATTGCCTCGCCAACTGACTTCCCATCTTCTCCTAGGACCCTACGTATAACCTCAGCGTCGCTCACTCGGTTGTCCTGTAACACCCGAGAGTGTTTTCGAGACGCCCAACATCAGAAACACGAACGCTACTTCTGGGAACTAATAATTGGCTTTTGTTGTGTCCACGGTTCCTAACTAGTAAATTCTTTCAAATTCCATTGTTTCTCTAGCTAAATGTGATTGACTTTTGTAAACTTCACAATGCAACAATGCAGAAAAAAACAAGCTGTTAATCAAAACTAGGAAAAATATAGGCTGAGTATATAAGCCTCGTCAGGGGAAAATTACAGCTCCCAGAAATTGTGGGCAAATTTTAGGTTCATTGGTTGCATTTTCTCGAAATTTCTAAAAGAACTTTAAAAGTTTACCCGAAATTAATCTAACTTGACCCAAAGTTTGAAGCTTGAGGTGTGACACATGCCAGAGTCGTTCATTAGAACTAGGATGGGACCTCAATTACTAGACAAAAAGCAACCACTTAGTGTCTCAAATGGAAGAACGATGAGTGGCAGCAAAAAGAACTACATTTCGAAATTATATAATGCAGTTACACGTGGCAGGAGAGTAATCACAAATTACAGTTCTGTATACCGTCTAATGAGTTCAGTTTACGAGGAAACTTATTTTTCCCCTTTAGCAAATTCACTCTTTGATACTCTGAAACAAAAAGGACATGTCCACGACAATAAAATGACAGTTCAAGCTGTAGAATTTAGAGACAACTTGAGCGCTATCCCCACCGTACAGGTAAATCCGTGTCAACAATATAATGCAGCTAAACAGTATAAAAACAAGCTGATTTAAAACTGAGACAACACAATCACCATTTAGATATCCTTATGCATCTCTACAGAAAACGTTTTTGTCTAATCTGATTTGGATTTATGTGCGCGCTATTTAAAAAGGACAGTGGTATTTTTCCTCGTTGAGTAGATTCTATTGTTTTGATCGTTATTAACGTATCAAGACTACTGTTTTTATACTTTGATTGAATTTCTTTCAGTTAAAGTATTCTATTAGAGTATTATCTTTGGTATCCTAAATAGTTTTATCGTCGGTACTCCAGAGTACCTTTTTTTCCATTGTGTCTGTTAGTACTTTGGTCCTAACTGTTTATAGTTTTTTTTCTACTTGTAGTCAACACTCACTTTCGCATCCTAAAATGACTGGAAGATGCAACAAAAGCATTTGCCACCGCCCAGGATGTCGATATCCTGTTGATAGCGGCATGCAGTGCGATGAGTTCAAAGGTTGGTACCACGATGTTTGCACGAATCTAACACCTGCAGCTTTCAAGCGGTTCAGTAAAAATGGGTGTGTATGGCTATGTCAACAGTGCTGTTTGGATGCAAATAGCCTGTTAACCGAGGCCATTTCAATAGTAAATGCCGCAAAAAAGTGTCTCGGCAAGCGCGGTCGGGATACATCAGTCAGAACTCAATCTGTCGACACGCAGATTGACACAAGGCAGGCCCAAGTGAGTCCAAAAACTGCCGACCCACACTCTACTAATGAGGAAGAACATCCTCCAAAGAGGACTGTTACAACTAGAAACTCGCGCAAAAATGTCTCTTCTGTCCCTCGTATCAAAAATGGTACCCAGAAGGGAACTTCCGGAAGCCGAAACCGCAAGGCTCGATCGGTTTCCAGCTCGAAAGATGACCCAATCTCCCAAGTCGTCCTGACTCTTCCGGAATCCCACAGTACGCCTGACGCGAATGTGGTTACCACTCCAAAGAACGTTGGCGATTGGGTACGGGTCGTAAGAAAAAAACGCCAAAATGACGTAAAAGGAAATCATACCCCCACCAAAAGGGTCGACAAGCCGAGGTCTGATCACAGCGACAGATCAGTCATTCTCCATAGAGTCAAGGAGAGTGACAACTTAGAACCGAAAGCTCGTTTTGAGCATGACATTGTGTTGATAAAACAACTACTCAACCAAGTTATGCCCAAAAACATCCCCGGAGTCACCTTGCTAAAGGTGTATAGACTAGGAAATCTAGCACATCTGAAACCAAATCAGTCTAGACTACTCAAAGTCGTTTTCAAATCCTCAAACGAACGCGACTTAATCTTAGAAAATGGACACAAATTAAAGGGTTCAGGAGTTTTTCTCCGTAAGGACTTACCGTTGGCGGACCGTGTTAAAAGACGGGAAGCCGAAAAGGAATTACAGCTCAGATTAGACGCTGGCGAAAAAGACCTGAAAATTGTAAATTTTCGGGTTGTGAGGCTTCGACAGAGGATGATGCCGAAGCCACTCTGGGTGAAGCACGAGGCCACCTAAATAGGCTTCGGATCTGTTATACCAACGCCCGGAGCTTACTAAATAAGCTACCGGAACTAGGTGTACAGATTGACTCAACTAGGCCAGACATAATCGCAGTCACAGAAACATGGCTGACGCCGTCTATAAATGGTAGGGAACTTGATATCGAGGGTTTTACATTGGTAAGGGCCGATAGAATACAAACGCGTAAAGGAGGGGGAGTAGCTCTATTCATTAGGAATGCTATTCCATTCACCATTATCGACAGTGTATCCCATGAGAGTGGGACGTACGAATTAGTTTTCTGCCGCCTGAAATGCAGGGGACAAGAGTTGCTACTTAGTTTGATCTATCGCAGTTCAAGCTGTGAGGCGAACGAGGTCCTGCTAAGCAGTCTCAACACTTTATCACGAAGTGATCGATGTCTAATCCTAGGGGACTTTAATGCACCCATGGTGGACTGGGGAAATCTGCGGACTGAATCGTCAGCAAACTCCTTCGAACAGGAACTAGTTGATGCGGTAATCACATGTGCCTTAGTGCAACACGTGAAGGAAGCAACTAGGTACGACCCGGGTTCTGCATCATCCTTACTAGATCTTATATTGACTCATTATGAGGATGATGTTGCAAGCCTGGATTACATGCCACCCCTAGGCAAGAGTGATCATGCAGTTATAAGCTTTGACTTCCATATAACTGTCGATCACGAGTACGCTTCAGCTCAATCCAGACCTAACGTCTGGAAAGCAAACATAGCAGACATCATGAAATCAGCATCATTAGTAGATTGGAAAATAGACCCAGAGTCATCAATCGAAACGGCTTGGGACGTATTCCGGAATTTATACTTAAAAGTTACCATCCCCCACATCCCTTGGACTACACCTAAGAGACCGAGAAACTCCCCACCGTGGTTCAGTAGGGAGGTTCGCATCCTTCTCCGTAAAAGAAGGAAAATGTGGGACAGATTTAGGTTACTGGGATCTGACGAGGCAAAATCTCAGTATCAAAAGGCTCGAAATACCTGTGCCTCGACCCTCCGTAAGGCCAGAAAGCTGTACGAAGAGAAAATCGTTAGGGAATCCATAGAATGCCCTAAACGCTTGTATTCGTATATAAACCAAAGGACAAAAAGAAGAAGAAATGTTCCTTCATTATGAGGAGACAGTACTGCCACATCACTAGTGGAGGATGACTTTGGCAAAGCTCAAGTATTCTCTAAATACTTTAGCGATGTATACACCATAGAAACACCCTTCTCACCAGTCCATGAAAATCCACCAACACAAGCACTGGACAGCGTAACCATTAAAGAACTCGATGTCTTTGGTCTGCTAGTTAAGCTTGACATAGGTAAATCCACTGGACCCGATGAACTGCATCCTAGGTTACTAAAGGAATTAGCTAACTTTGTTGCGAACCCTTTAAGTGTATGTTTTAATCTATCCGTAACCCAGGGTCGTCTACCAAAAGACTGGAAGAACGCCATAGTAAGTCCAGCCTTCAAAACAGGTACAAAACATAAGCCTGAGAATTACCGACCAAATAGCCTAACTATTGTGGTTGTTAAAATCTTAGAAAAGATTATTCGGAAGGAACTGTTAAAGTATCTCGATGAAAACCGGATCCTCTCCGAAAAGCAGCATGGTTTTAGAACAGGTTACTCTTGTCTCACAAACTTATTAGTCGCTCGTGAAAGCTGGTGCGCTCTTAAGGACCAAAAATTACCTATAGACGTAGCTTACATCGATTTCAGCAAAGCTTTCGACAAAGTTCCGCATAACCGGCTGTTATATAAGCTAAGGAATGTCGGGATTGGAGGCAATCTATTGATGTGGGTAAAAGACTTCCTAGTTGGGCGTCAACAAAGAGTAAGGGTGAACTCCAAGTTGTCTAGCTGGGAAACTGTGCTTAGTGGAGTCCCCCAGGGTACAGTTTTGGGGCCAGTGTTAATCCTCCTGTACGTAAATGATCTCCCTCGTCTACTATCGTCATCGGTCTTACTCTATGCTGATGATGTCAAGATATGGAGAGCGATACAAAGCAAGGGCGATAGCTTAGAACTTCAAAATGAACTGGAGAGATTATCTGAATGGTCCCAAACCTGGCAATTGCCGATAAACACTTCCAAGTGTATTGTGATGCATATTGGCCATCAGGGTACAGATACATACACGATGAATAACACTGAGTTACCTATTGTTCAGGCACACAACGACTTAGGCGCCATCGTCAGTCAAGACTTAAAGACTACTGCACACTGCCGTGCAATAGCCGCCAAAGGTTTTAGGACTTTATGGTCCATACGCAGGGCTTTTAGGCATCTTGACGCTAAAACGTTTTTGACTTTGTATACAGTGTTCGTACGCCCTAAACTTGAGTACTGTATACAAGCAGCTAACCCCTGCCTAAAAAAAGACAGTGAACTCTTGGAAAGGGTTCAGAGAACAGCAACTAGGCTGATTCCCGGAATAGCGAAGCTCCCGTATGGTACTAGACTGACCAAGCTAAACCTATTCCCGCTGTCATATAGAAGAATCAGAGGTGACTTGATTATAGTTTTCAAATTGCTTAATGACAAATTTGCACCTGATATGCCCTCATTTTTCTTGTCTTCCAAAACAGAAAATCTACGAGGAAACTCCAAAAAAGTTCACAAGCCCCGAACGAATTACTTGTCAGCTGACTACCGACTTTCCCATCGAATAATCAACGAGTGGAATTCATTACCTCAGCACGTGGTTGAGGCTCCATCCGTCGACTCCTTCAAAAGAAAGTTGGATCAGCTGAGAGACCATCATTGCCAGGACTAACACAGGCCATCAAGCCTCCTGTCCTTTCCAAACTGAAACTGAAACTGGATTCGGGTAATCACGAAAATGACGTTCCATGAAACAGCTTCCAAGAGAGAAGGCGGTTTTGTGCTATGCATAATCACAAGTCTTTCAGAGGATAAGAGACGATAATAATTGAACCATCTTGCTTTCAATAGCACTCAATACCTAATCTTTCACACGTACATATGTTGAGGCGATTACCGTCATTGATTCGCTCATTTATATTTCTCATAAAATACTTTCCATCCACTGTAGTTGAATTTAATATCCTCTAATCCTCATCGACTTTGTCTACTAATCTTGAGTAGTTATTACAGAATGTATCTAGGGTGCTACTGTGGTACATTGATGAACTTTAGGCTCAGGTGTAGGATCAATTTTGTATGGTTCTGTGAGAATATGTGAAAGAATCTCACAAAATGTGTTTTCCCCTGTGAATATTTTTTCCTTGTTATAGAACGTTTTTGTATTCTTTACTGTATTCATGTATATTTTCATGTAATATCAACACTTTGTTTGACCGTGATAATCTAAAACAGTCGAACTCAATATGTTTAACACTCGCAAATAGACAAGAAGACTTTTGGTATGGTCGAATATATTTTATTTGCCATTTGAGTTAGGTGAGCGATAATGTGAAGAGCAATTATTGATCAG